CGCCCCCTGCGCAGGCCTGACACCTGGGTCAGAGGCATCAGGCCTGGGCTGGGGGCAGAACCAGTGATGGGGGTAAATGAGGGTTCCCTTCCCATGCCTGACACCTCTGGCAGAGGCATCAGGCATGGGCAAGGGGCCGATCCTGCGATTGGAGGGTGATTGGGGGTCAACGCCTGAGGGCTCCCAGTATGTGAGAGGGGGCAGGCTGGGCTGAGGGACACTGCCCCCACACACACACCCAGTGCACGAATTTCGTGCACCGGGCCCCTAGTGTCAAATAAGTTTGGATGAAGTTATTAAGGGAGACTATATTCTCCACTGTTTCATAACAGTCTTTAAAAGCATCCAAATAACCATTTTTCTGGGATAATATGAACTTGAATAGTAGTGGTGCTAGTCAGCCAGAGAATGTTATGAATAATTCGTCAATAAATTATAGAGCCACAGAAACCTCAAGTAATATTGGAAAAGATCATTAGAGAAGTTGGCTTCCAAGAAGCAGTGTCCAGAATGTAGAAGAATGTACACATTGCATGGAACGGAGAAAATGGATATATTTCTTTCTAGACCCAAAAGATCATCTCACGGATTCTCTTGTTTTCCTTTGGAGCAGCTGTGTACACAGGACCTGGCCCAGTAAAGGATGTGTTTTCAACCACCAACAGAATGACTGTGCTTTTCAACACTGACAAAGCACTGACAAAAAGAGGGTTTAAAGCCAACTTCACTACTGGCTATGGCTTGGGGATTCCAGGTAAGTGTACTTGGGATTACGTGTTGTGTTGTAACTTTTGGAGGAAAACGATGAAAGCATATAGGACTTCAAGGCCTAAATACGTTTCAATGTTTGCATTCTATAAAACACTCATTCTCCTCACCTTTAACAAAGATTTCCTTCCTCCCTTTACATCTATTTAACCACTACCTGAATATGTTCAAAGCAGGAATCCACATTGTTTTTCAACAAATCTGTTTGGCCCTTCGCTGCCGTGTGAAGAGTCAGTGGATTTTATTCACTGAAGTGGGCCATTTTAGATGTTAAAAATGGGGTTGTTGGCGCTGTGAGGAAGGAGGGCTGTCTGTCACATACCCTTTGCCAAGAGCATTTTTAGAGAACAGCAGGGAGACAGGCAAGTGAGCTGTCTGAATGCCAACAACATCCAATTAAAAGATTAACATCATTAACTTCTTAGAGACAGGCAGGGTAAAGCCAGTTCTATGAAGGATGAAGGAATTTGATGCTGATTTTTGCTGGTATGCACAACCTTCTAACCTTCTATTTTTATTATATTCATGTCATAATTAGCAGGGGAATAAAGGACAAAATTGTTTCCTGCCTGCTCATCACGGATACATCTATACCTTTATATTTATCTATGATATAACTCTCCGCATTCAACAATCCACAGGGAACTTTTTCTCACTTGCCGCTCCTCTTGGACTATGATTTTTCTTATGCTACTGCCCACGACTCTGTGGTTCCCTCTGGGTGCAAATACATCAGAAAGACAGAATACAGGTTACTGCCTCCATCTACCTTTCCCTTCCCTAGGAGAGCGTGGCCAGTTTGTCTTTAATTAGAATGTCTAGAGAAGAGGTCGGGTGGGAGCCTTGATCCTCATCCGGCCTATTATCCAATCCCACATCCATCTGTGCTAATACCTGTTCCTCCATTCACACCTGGCCTGCGCCTGTGACTGCATCACAGAAAGCTGTATGCTTTTGGCTTTGTAGCGAATATGAAAATTGACCTGTACTTTATCTACCCTCCCCCTGACCAGAAGCGACAACAATTGTGAGAGTCTATAATGGATGTATAGGAAAAACATAAAGCCACAATTTGAAACCAATAGGCATTTCTAAAGGGAAAGAACCAATCAAAGCTAACAGTGAAAGGTATAATGGGGAAATTTTTATAAATCCTGGATATGATTGAAGTGACATAAAAATCACAAAATGTTACTGTGGGCTGTAAAAAGATAATAAACAGGTCAGCATTGTAACTTGTTTAAATTTTGAAATTTCAAAAGGAAGACTTTGAGTCAAAAGTTAAGCAAGCTTTATATGTTGCTGATTTGATGATAAACACTTAAAAACAGTAGAGTGATATTTCTAAGTCTTTAAGGAGAAACTGCTGCATTAAAAAATGTAGAGGCATATGAATGATACTAAATTATGTGCTCAGTTCTGCAAAGTATCTTCAACTAGAGGAAGGAAATACCTAATACCTATTGTACCAGAGGGGAGGGACTCCCAACTTTTTCTAAGAATAATGTCATGGAAAGAACTTTTGAAAGAAGTATTATTTTCAAAGAAATGGAGGTGAACATTCAAAACAACTGAACTATAAAATAATATTTCTAACCAAAAGGGGGAAAATTTATTCAGAACTCCAAACAATTGAAATGATTATTGGCCATTCCACCACCTGCACCAGAGAAAGCCTCTAAAAACAAAATTTTAGAGATGGTTAGTCTTTAAACCCATATTTTAAATTTTAAGTGAGGAGGGAAGAAAGAAGTGGAAAAAGAATAAGTAGTGAAAAGGCAGACAGCAATAAATCTCTTCTATTAAAAATATTACAGCCACTGGGTTTTATCAGAGTTTCATAATGAGATAAATACCCCACCAAGAATTTTGAAA